AAATGGCGGTCCCGCGGTTCTGAACACTCCACCAAATCGCATGCCTTATTCGCTGTTGGAGTAATTTAGAGGAAGAAGAAGAAGAAGAAGAAGAGAAGAAGAAGAAGAAGAGAAGAAGAAGAAGAAGAGAAGAAGAAGAAGAGAAGAAGAAGAAGAAGAGAAGAAGAAGAAGAAGAAGAAGAAGAAGAAGAAGAAGAAGAAGAAATAAAAATGTTATTGGATGGACGTGAGAAACTCCAAGATTTTGACAAGATTGATGTTTTGGCAAGTTGTCCTTATTCTATACAGTATTCAATCATAATTCCCCCCTAGTTCACACTCATTCCGCATCACATCATGTCCACATCTACATCCTCTCCACAGGCGACAATCCCAGCACCCTCATCCCATTATTCAGCACCTGCCTGGCCGCCACATACAGTGCCAACCTTGCAATCATGACATCCCGCTCACTACCCACAACCTGCAAGTGATCATAACTACTGCTCAACGCGTGCGCCATCTTGAACAGATACGTCAACACAGTCGTCGGCTCTTGCGTCTTCAGGGTGTTGAGAAACGTGTCTGGCCAGCTTGCCAATTGCCTCACGAGCTCTATGGCATGTGGCTCGTTGAGTAGCGACAGATTTGCCGTTGAGAGGTCGAGCTCGGCGACCGACGGATCGGCTGTCGTTGCTTTTCGGTAAATCGAGCAGAGACGGGCGTGTGCGTATTGGAGATAGGGTCCTGTGTCGCCTTCGAAGCTCGTCATGCGGTCCATGTCGAAGGTGTAGTGGTTTATGCGCTTGCCCTTCATGTCCTGCACCATGACGGCGGAGATGCCGAGTATATCGGCCGTTTTGACAGGGTCCTCTACTTGTTCATATTTGGCTTGGTTGCCTTTCATGACTTCATGCATCTTTTCACCCACGTCGCGGAGGATGTCGTCGAGGAATTTGGCGGTACCTTTACGCGTCGACATTCCTATGCGGGAGTTAGAGAGACGTGATGAGGTAGCTGACAATACGAATCTTACCCATGACCATGCCAAAGTTGATGTGTTGGCATTTTTCAGAAATATCCTTCCTGCCCATCAACTCCTCAATCTTGAAGAGCTGAGCAAGGTGCAGGTCTTGTTGCGATGCTACGACGTAGATCATCCGGCTGAAAAGTACGTTAGTCAATGTCCCAATCGACCAAAGGCCGCAACTTACTCAAAGTGGTACTTCTCCACACGCTCAATCGCGGCACCGATATCTCGAGTCAGATACAGCGAAGTACCGTCCTTCTTCTTGATGACTGCCTTGCCAAGCTTCTTCGAGTGTGATGTCAGGTCGACAATGACAGCACCTTCCGACTCCTCGCAGACTTTCTTCTCCCACATGATCTTAGCAGCCTCTTCCATGCTCTCGTCCTTGACTTGCGACTCGCCGCTGTAGTCGTCGTATCGGATGTTGAGACGGGCATATGTCTGCTTGTACTTTTCAATGGACAGGTCCTGTCACCGTTAGCATGATGCTTCGTACAATGACCCACACAACTTACCCTGAAGCGCTTCCAGATGCCGAGCGCCTTGGGCTCGCCATCCACCATACCCTTGAAGTACTTCCTAGCCTGCTCATCAATACCCTCAGTCTCAATCTTCTTGATCTTTGCCTCTTGTTCCGAGGCATCTTTGCCTTCTTCCTTCAATTTCGCAGCCTCGGCCTTGAGCTCCTTCAACTGCTCCGCCTCGTCGTGCTGTATGCTGCTGACCTTGACGTAGATGTCGTACAAGTGGCCAATGGGGTTCTTCACCAACTCTTCCTCGTTTCCGAAAAGATCGTATCCGATGGCCAGTACACCGTATTGCTTGCCCCAGTCTCCCAGGTAGTTCATACGAATCACCTCCCATCCTGCGCCCTCGTAGAGATTGGCAAGGAAGCCGCCGATAATCGTACTTCGCAAGTGGCCAGCATGGAAGGGCTTCGCAATGTTTGGCGAACTGAACTCGACAATCATCCTCTTCGCACCAGACGACGGGTCGAGTGGGTTCTTCAGCCCCAGGTTCTTGTTGAAGCCGTAATTGGCGCCCGACTTGAGTACCATGGGCACCACGAGCGCGGTCAGCGTCTCAGGCTTGAAGAAGAAGCCAATTGACGTGTTGGTGACAACAGGCTTCTTGACCAGCGGCGACTCTGGGAATTGGTCGGCCAACTCCTGTGCAAAGGCCTTCATGTCCTTCTTCTTGATGCGCAGCGCGGGAACAGCAAGCTGCAGGTCGCCATGCTCTGGCTTGGATGTCCATGCCAGCGTGGGATATATGACCTTTTTGTCTACGCCCGAGACTTGCGACAACAACTCGGTGATGTGGCTGCGGTAGATGTCGAAGGGGTTGAGGGCGGGGTATGTGTTGGGTTCCTGGGGGACTTTGTCGAGTCCGAGGGTTGCGAGGGTATTGGTGAGGTCCTCCATGTTGAAAGCGGACGGCGTCGACGCGCCCAGGGCTCGAAGAGGGTTCAAGGGAGAGGTTTGGCGGTGGGAGGAGTAGTGACGACCTTGTGCCAGTCCCTGTGCGGCCTGGAAGATGCTCTGTCTGCCTGCTATGCGCCGATTGTGCGAGAGCGTCTGCACTCTTCCGGATGCTTGTGGCCGTGAAAGGGACGAAGAATTGCAGGTATCGCGAACAGGGGTAGAGGAGGTGCACCTGTTCACGCACGAGACAATGCGGGGGTCTGTCCTACGAGTGTGCGTTTGCGACCAAGAAGAGCAATGGGTCGCCAGCGGCCTCAGCGCAGAAAGCAGTGGAGAGTGCAGCGAAGAAGGCAAGGTGGATAGTTTGGGGCGACAGAGTGAAAGGGCTTGCTGCATGCCAGTGTGGGCGAGGGGGTTGACTCGATCAATCCAACGCAAAAGATATGCGTCCATCAATGGCCGCGAGGGGTGCAAGGCCGCCCGACGCGGGGGCGCTAGAACGAAATGAGTTTTGGAGGGGCTCTTCCGGCCTTTTCTGCCCGCCGTGACCGCCCAGGAGCCTCCGCTTCCCGCTCCTCTGTGTAAGGCTGCCTCCATCCTCTCTTCCTCCCATCCTCCTCCATCAGCATCAGCATCAACAGACTACAAGTCTAGGCTCGTCATACTAGCAACCACAACAACACGTTTGGGCCTCTCGTGCATCAGCCAATGGCTCAATTGAACTACGTGTGCATGCTCTTCACTCATCCCGAAGCATGACTGCCTGCTTCACACCACCACCGACATTCTCACGCCTCCTCCCCTAATCAGGAGGGCACGACAGGATACTGAGCCTCGTGCCAGCACGCCAATGTCAAGGCTACTGTATACTCTCATCCTACTCATGTAGCCTGCTCGTGCTGCAGGCCACTGCGCCCATGCAGACACAGCATCCAAGGCCTCCCATTCTGGCATGGTGCACCCCAGATTGAGCGACAATGCAGTGTCACAACACTCCCTATGCATGCTGCTGGCCTCACTCGATGCGTCCAAGCAAGGCTACTCCCAAGCAAGATGACAGTTCCTACGAGTACCAACAAGTGTCTGGCTGCATCCCTGGTTTCAGTCTATTCCGGATCGCCCACAAAACCCAGGCTATCCCGGTTGTCGTCACAAAGTCTGGCATACTCGAGTAGTAGCCGGAGCATGTAGATCTGCATATCTTCTTTCCGCAGCACCTTCTCAGCCCATTCCTTGCCTCGCAACGCAATCTTCTCCGCGGCATTATCACGGCTCTTCATCGTTGTCTTCTCATTCTCATTGACCTTTGACTTCTTCGTACCCAAAAAATATTCCAAAATACCATAGACATCGACAAACATGTTGTCCATGGGCACAAAATGTAGCCATGGAATCAGCCGGTCATCGTGCCACTCGGAATAAATCGTGGCCTTGAGTGGAAGAGATGTCGACCGCAGAAAGGCAAGATAGCGTCCAGAGTACGAGTTGCCATCAATATCTGGCAGGATCTTGTACTTGTACTGCTCAGCCATGGGGATTTTCTTGGCAATCGAGAAATAGGGATCGGTGTAGTTGCAAGTCGGCTGGCCTGTTCCAGGCCAACAGAGGAGGTCCGTGAAGCCAACGTCCGCAATGTCTTGAAGCCAAGCCCCAAGATTGAGTGCTCCAATGTGGTATCTTGCGTACGACTGCATGATGAACGCTTTTCCCTCACCAACAGCAGTCGGGCTCATCTCGATCTCTCGCATATAGGATCCATTCAACATGGATACGAACCGATGGCGATGGAATCGTGTCCAGGTCTCCTCACGGTTCCGGCCACCACTCGCAACACCCCGCCATACTACACCAGACGTTTTTTCGTCCCAGTTTGCTCCTTGGGCATTGGCATCCGAGTACAATCCACCAGAGAAGGATTCAGAAAGATATGCCGCAGGTGGGATGAGAATGTCGTTGTTCATCGAAAGCTTGGACTCACCAAAGATGGGTACAAGTTGGTGAGTCGTAGACACTGATATGGGCTCAATAAATGTTCCATGGGCTTCTTGCAAATGCGGTTGCTGGCAAGGATCTCGTGCTTGGGTCCAGTTTCTAACATAGCCGTCAAGAGAATGCATTGGATACCCCGACGGATAGGGCGGAGGTCCAGCAAAGTTGGTTGCGGCTTCTTTGAAGCGTGCTGCGGCTTGGGGAGTGCATCCAACACGCGCGGTATCCCAGAAGGCTTCCTCACCTGGGCCTATCCATGTTGTCCGGGGTGGCTCTTCAGTACTGTTGTCGAATGCAAAGTAACTCTGATACTGCGAGGTCACTTTATTCAGCGGTAGTAAGCCTCTCGTCTGCGCTTCTAGCCCGACGTACTTGTCAATAGACTCCCATGGCACAATCACTCGACTCTCATCCATGAGATTGATGGCCAGATCCAAGTCGGGCAAGAACGGCCCCACACTCCGAACCAGGTCCAACCAGGCTTCCATACGGTCCGTCGGTGTTCCCCCGCCGTGGTTCCTGGTCATGTCGACGGTGCCATTTCGAACATAGATATGATGCTCAAAGTGCCTCGCAAAGTCCCTCATCATCTTGGGCGCCACACCCCAAAAAGGGGTGAGATCACGATAAATCTGATCAAACAGCTCCTCTACAATAACCGCATTGTGCTCTTCCGCATACGCATACCACGCATCAAACCCAGGCGGTGGATGACGCCCTCGCCGAGCGCGATAATCCTCCGCCGCTGCGCTTACGCTTAGTGACTGTCTCGATATCATCTCCTGAAACGTGACCTCGGCAACACTCATGAGTTTGCCAATGGGATGCGTGCGCTTGTTTGCCGTGGAGTGAACGCTTGCCTTGTCCCCCTGTGTCGCCGCTGGCTGCCAGGAAGCGTGGTACCGCCATAGCAGCTGGATATCACCCAGTATGAGCACTGCGCTGCCAGCGACGAGAACGAGGAGAATGTTGCGAACGGCGCTGTAGTTTCGTGTCATGGTGGGTTTTTGATTTGAATGCGACGATGACGAAGAGGAAGAAGGGAATCGTCTGAATCGTAGTCGGGGGTGATAATAATGGTACTGGTGTCGGCTGTTCTGTTTGTAAAGCGCGTTGTTTCCAGACTAGGACGTTACAGTTTCGTCGTCGTCGTCGCTGTCGTTGTCGCTGTCCTATCGTTGCCTTGCCCCAACCTCATGCGCACCCATCACCAAGCAACGACTTTTTAAAATCCAGCCCAGTCTCACGCAGCAATAGCACAAGAAAAGTCCAGTCAAAGAGGTTGAAGAGCGCGCGTCGCTCCCCAGGACATGCGCGTCTGCACGTGCGTGTTTTGTCCCGTGCGTTTGCATGCCTGCGTCTTCCGTGGATTCGGTGAGCGGCGAGGACGGTCGTGAGCTGCCGTTTGCTCGAGGCAAGGCAGGTGCGCTCTAACACGCCGTTTTTGGTTTCGTTGACCGTAACGCCGGGTTCGGTAAATGGGGATGGGCAACTAGCGACATCACATCATATCGTACCTGGACCTTGTGCGTTTTTGGCTTTTTTGGGGGGCACAAAGGGGGGGTTTGGGGGTTGGGGTTGGGAGGGGTGGAGCTCGGGATTGTCGGCGGGCGATCGCTGACTCGGCTTCCTTTTTCCCTGGGTCTCGGCCGCCCGGGCATTTCCCTCCCCTCCACGGCCTCCGCACTCCCCCCCCACCAACTCCCCCTCTCACCCCCCCCCCCTCCCATTCCCATCCATCTCTCACCCCACCACCTCCTTCTCTTATTCTCTCCCAGCGCCA